AAGAGAGACGGAGATAATGTTCGCGCGGATCAATGTGCATGCGAAATCCCTCGATGNCGTGATAATTGAATACTCTTGCCGGTTGCTAAGATGTGCAGTAAAGGAAGGCTTGACAACAGTGTGGACGATCTAGAGGTGGAGCCCGTAGCTAAACACCACCAGATTTTTCATTGGGACAGATCACGAGGAACAACAAGAAGGTTTAAGACTACGGGAGTTACCGTTTATTCCAATGGCATTGCGTGTGATTAAGCTTGTGCGTGGATTTATGCATGTGGGACTTCAGTGAATTTCTACTACGACGTAGGGTAACCCTTTTGTGATTCGCGACTCCAAGTCCCGGGGCTTAGGTTACCGGTTACCAACACTGTCCAGCAGGTCTTCGTGACTATGGGGTTCCACCCCATCTGCTGCCCAACACACATTGGTGTGTAATGAAGAAGTGACACATCGACAGAACGAATCGGTCGTTGTCACAACGGATGTCCGTGCACACTCCCAAGTGTTTGCTACAATCAAAGCTACGGCACGATTTCAGCGATCAGTCTGATAATAGAAATCCAGTCGCCAAACATATTTTGTAAACTGGACAGATCGTTGACCCCCACTTTTGTCGTTGTTACGTACCATGAATCCCAGATTATTAGCGTTTAGCGAAGCGATGTGAATCAAATTTTGTGTACACAAACGCTTCTGACGCAAGCAGTCAAATTACCGTGTGACTGATCCTGGAAATAGTTTTCCTCTCCTGACCGTTGTCCGTTAAACCAATGCAGTCATCAAAACTCTCCTGTATATATAACAGATTACTTTACGTTGTAGTGACTCAAGAGATTAAATTGTTAACATCTCACAGTATTTGTCTATTCCAACGAATACCGATTTCAAAGAAGGAACTCGTCGTGAATAGAGCAAATGAAGCGTGAACTGAAAAGTTAGGAAGCACTGTTTCGACCTGGTTGAGTTTAATCAACAGTGCAAATCCATCGATCCAACAATTTCCCTCTTCAAAATATAGATTTCATTGATAAGTACTAGTGTCGTTAATATTAAACTTTCAGAACAAGTCCCACTGGCAAAACATCAGAAAATTGACGATTACCCTTGGTGATCTTATCTATACATCTCGCGGTCGACCTGGACACTTAGCTGGAAACACTGCAACATCTGGTGGAGCTGAAATACATGGCATAGTGCACACGAAGGCCCTGTAGAGCGAAATGCTACTGTTTTGTTCGGTCTTACTCATGGCTGTTAGATCGTATATAATGCTAACAGAGCAGATGTCACGACGGGATGCAAGATCGACCGAAATGATTGTAATGGTCAGATTACCCAGGAAGTTGTGATAGTTCAAAATGAGTCATCATTTTCCGAACGGTGGCATGAGGAAGTGGTGGCTAATACGCCAGAACTGTTCTCCATATTGGTTGTTCACAACATTTCATTCACTGTCTTGCTTCGATACGGTCGGTGTTCTTGCTCTCCGACTTATGTCTCGATGGATAATCTCCGTTGATTAGGCAACAGCTTAGGCTCACGTTCAAGTCGAAGCATTCGCACAAGGAACTGAGTTACCGAGTTTATGCGCCTCTCGAAAAAGTTGCCTCCCGGCTTCAGCTATATGCCAAAAGCTCCTGGATGTTTTATCCAGTTTGGGCCCGGTGACACTATAAAACGCTGATTCAACGAGCCGCATACCTCAAGTCTAACTTTCGAATATCAACTTTTATGTTTCCTAGACTATATTTTTAGTACCTTATGGATGAGGGATTTTACGTGAGTAGTTTATAGCCAAATAATTTATCAATTTATTAAGTATAGACAAATTGCATTAATTGGTTCATTTTTTTTGCACCGAATGAGAGAAGATAAACCATTTAGAATACGCGTATCGTCCGAACTAAACACTCTTATGAAGCAAAAAACACTTATTAGAAATAAGGCATTCATGCTGCTTTGCATAAAATATTTTCTAATTTGCGGCCGCAACTTTTGAACTACTATAAATTTTGTCGTGACACCCAAGGTCACACAAGTTTAAACGGTGATATAAGAGAACTAAGAATGTTGAAGCATTGGGTCCCCTTTATACATTTCTTCAATTTAGATGACAAATGTCACGAGATGTAAATATTTCGCTTAATCTTTGCAATCGCTTACTTACGACAAACAAACATATTTATAGCATGGGTTTGTTCCATTATGGTGAATGAACGTGTACAAGCATACAAAGAACACTAAACATAGCAGTAGAAGGTCAACTGCGCGGTAAGTGGATTGATTACAGTCAATCTCCTCGGGGATTCGAAAAAGTGGGTAACTTCCAGGAGCTGCGACATAGCAGGGTAAACAGTAGTAGATGCTAATAAGAACCATAAAATACAATAAAATAATAATACAATAAAATAAAATACAATACAATACCATAAAATACAATGCACCATGTTGAGATGCAGCGAAATCGTCCTGGACATAAATCGTGCAGTATTGCAATTTGGTCTTTTCTTTTCAAATCGATTTCGGAAAAGGCTTGCTTCAGTATCCTGTATGTATTGAAGAAATTTAAATCTTTTATGACGCCCTCAGTTTATTATCGGTATATTGCATGCGGTATTCAGCTCCTTTCAGTTCTGTGTCTAGTTATCTCGAAACTACCTACCTTTCTTCAGGGGAACGTCTTCTGACCCAACTACCCCATAATAATTCCAGATATTCCTCCATTCCAGCTTGGTTATATAGAGGGGAGTTGTCCATAATTAATTAATTAATTGTCCATAAATAGAGCACCTTTGAGAAACCATTTTGCGGTTGACATCGGACAGCCAACTGTGAAACGTTCTTTGAAGAATTATAACTGCATGGATGCATTTTTCTATCTATACCTCGGAGGCATGGTGCAGTTTAAAACTTTCCAATCATCATTGGTGATAACGTTTCTCCAGTCATGCTTCCACAAAGCAGTAACGTGATCCTCTCTTTGGATTTCTTGGATCCATAAATTGCCTTTCCTTTTAGACTTAATATTCTTTCTGGGAGCTGCCTGTAATACAAAGCTGTTTCATCTACATTGACAATATCACAGTCAGTATACCCATGGATCAACTGCGGTAAGCTCGAAACTCGTCCTCTGCATCACGTGGTACCGCTAAACTTTCCCCACAGACCTATATAGTGATGCAAATGAGTTGCTTGTTTCTTATTTTGTACGCTTGAATACCATATCTGTCTGAACAAGAGCGAGACCAACCTTTGGAAGCCTTGAAGTCATTATGATGCAATCTTGAGCTAGCTGGGTTACCTTCTTACGTATGACGCTCCCCACCACTGGAAACTCTCCGTGCTTTTCCCTCATAGCAGTGAACCAAGCCAAAGTTGCCTCATTCACTACCTTGAACTTTTCGTTGGTTTTCATATGGCATCTTTCCTCAGATGCCCCAGCGTTCAAAACTTCCCCGATAGTCGTTCGATGGGATATAACATTGTAGACAGTTTTTCGTGAAATTCCAAGTGACTTGGCTACGGAGCTCTGAGGTGCACCTAGCTGTTCTAGCATTTCTAACACATCCTGCTTCTCTCTGATCGATAGGCGCTTGCACATTTTGACGTCGAATGACACTGTCTCTGATCACTTGTATCGGTGTGACTTCCAATCAGTGAACAGCGCCATGAACGCGTCACACTAGATGCAACGCCATTGATTGAGTGCGACATTTCAGGGTGGATGGTCAATGTTTGTCCCGAACATCGGNATTGGGGGGGGGGGGGGTGCGGCATCGCACAGTCAGAAACTACGCTATTAGGGATGTGATTGGTTTGGGTTTTTGAAAAAAGTGGGAAGACATTGGAAAATACGACTTCCTGGGGGTGCGACATAGCAGGAGATTGACTGTACATCAAAATCTCTTGCACGGGTGACGTAATCGAAAAAAACGGCTGCTCACTGAATGTGAAAAGTTTAGCATTGCGATTACATAAAAATGGTTTGCGTGTCTTGTTGTCACGAGATGTAACTGATGACCCTGGATTTCTTGTAATCACTTGACCATCAATTAT